GTGCAATGAGTCCCTCTATCCTAGCATCTGTCTATGCTGGTGTGTGTCTGCACAAAGTGCCAGGCAGACAGCAGAGGAAATATACACTGCACCGCTGATATAAATTTCTAACTGATGTTCGCGGCAAACAAACTGAGAGCGAGTGCATGTGGATGTTTCCGCGGCTCGGTTATTAGTTGAGGTAGTAGCGTCTCATCTGCAAGGAATTGAAGGAACATGCACAGTATGTTTCATGAACGGGATGTATGTATCTAGGTATCACGGACATTATCACACCCTCTCACTAGATACAGGCTTGCAAAATGATATCCACAAACAGATTTATGAACCGAGTATCTACAACTACTGGACTTATATTTATTTTAATGCTTATTTTTTTTGTTAATTCTTCTTTTTATTCAAATTTCTGTCTCAAAATCTTCCACTACTTTTGGAAAGTCATTACAGGAACAAAATTTATCCTACTCTGAAACAATCAAACGATTCACAATAAATTTTTGTTAAATATAAAATCCAAATGCATGTCCAAATACTTTTCTAAGAGAAACCGTATTTCAGAATTGTTGCACGTACAGATAGGTCTCGGCAATTCTGCGCTGTTAGAAACTACAATTACTAATAAGTTTCCCCTTGAGATAACCGAATGCAAACATTGTTCACCGGTTTCCACATGCAGTGGACTTGCCAAAAAACCTTACCCACCGGAGTACCAGTTATAAACAGTACAAATTACACAGACATGCTTTTCTAAAAATCACAAAGTATACGCTCACGAGTTTTACAGGATCCTCTTATCTCGGTCAAAGTCGACATGGCGATGTGGCACAAAAAAGAAACAAATATTTTTATAGCTAAATTATAATGCCAAAGTCCGGTGCCCAACCAACGGTCTTAATACCATCAATCATATGTATTGATCTGTGTATATTACAGACTTACATAGAGCGCAGTGCACATGTAGGCTGGGACCTTATCCTTGGACTATATGGGGTCACCTTCAGAACTCTACATTTTAACGGCACTCCTCAGTTTTCCCAAAAATTTTTGACAGCACGTGAAAAAGCTTGTGATAAAAATATGACAAGATCATCTCTTTTTTTTAATGAACCAGTTGTATCAATTAACCTATCGCGGTAGAATTGCGCCAACGCAGCTTGTGAAATAGTGTCCAATTACACGATATACAAATGGACGCGGAACGCGCAAAATCCAAGACTAACAAAACTTAACGAACAAATTCCATGGGGTTGTCTAAAGGGGCGTGGCTATAAACTCGCAAACGGCGATAGGTCAATTGGAGAACTGTCTTCATTAGTCCAAATGTTGTTATACCAACAGAAAATACCTAACATCAACACTTTTAAAGGACTACTCAGAAATGTGATCCTATTTCCAAAATACACAAGCATTTCTCTTTTAAATGTGTGTAAAAATTGTAATTATATATTTTTTATTGCAATTACAATGAACTGTGTAGAGAATTCCTCTGCCAACTCATGAATGCTTACACATTCTCAGTCATTATCTAACTAAGGCCGTGTCCACATAACTTGGCTACGGCTTGAAGTTATACACGGGTCTATGGGAAGTGGCCGCAGCCATTACTGTAGACTCGTGTGTAATTTCAAGTCGTAGCAAAGCAGTTCGGAAACGGCCTAAGACAGATATTTCTGCACATTATGATACAATACTTTGCACTTAAGCTGTCGTTCATTAATTAGACAGAAGCAGCACACAAGTTTGCCAACAAAGACACTGACACAAAACTAACTATGAAACTGACAAACACATGAATGCACACATACTGAAATTTGTATCCTTGTGGAGACATTTCTTTGTTCTCGTGTAGTAAAGTTTTCGAGTTTGAAAGTGAAGTTTCAAAAAGCTCTTATTTCAACCAGAATTAATTTCCTTGGCTGAAATTAATTTCCTTTTCAGATTTGGAAATTCCTAGTTTTTGAGTAAAATCCATATATATCTATTTCGTGAAAACCTTGTGGAGACGTATTCATTTATAGAAATTGCCCTGTGGAGATGTATACAATCTTTTGTTCCCTACTGTGTGCACGTCTCCAGAGGGCACGATATATCATATCAACGTAGGCACACATGTGTACAGCCATTTCCATAACTCAAGGTGTCTTCAAATACGTGATATCTAGCAGTGCGATCTGCATGCACAGAAGGCGCCCATTTTTCATCAAACACCATGTTATATTCAGAATTTCTGTCACTGTCAACTGAACATCGGCCCAGCTCCTTGCAACTTTAATTGTGGTTGAGCTGGGGAACGTTTGCTGGGTATTGCATCAAAAATCCAACTTGATCTTCACAGTTGAACAATGTGTGGACCTTTCTCTACTGGAGAGCACTGGCCTAACAGAATTTACCATTATGCTAAGTTCCTTGTGTCCACAGGGTCTACATAATTTGATGTAAAAATTTCACACATGATGTGAAGACGTTTAGCTTAGCTTTAACTCCGAATCCCACGAGAAAGCAATACTCAATGTTTTCATGATTATTTTAAATCAAATATCTGATAGAAACGTATAATTTTTCCTATCTTGTTCAAATTGACACTCAGCTGATTGTCATTACCAAATTAACGTTTAAGTTAATCAAAAGATCCCCTGTTGCCAGTAATTGTGACTTAACTTCTGAAATGACTTGTAGTTTTTTTTCTAATTTATGATTTGAATTGTGAGTGACTCGATGGCAACACTGAGATTATTTCACAACATTGAGAACGGTACCATCACTTTTTTAAAATTAAAAAAAAAAAAACCTGACCACAAACATCACTTTAATGATTGGACGCATCATGTAACCTACAGTGTCACACAATTGTAAAGCACCTTAGAAGCTTTTTTTGTGCTAAAGTTTATTTTTCCTTTCTAAAAATACCCATCTCGGTTCTCACTACACAAACATTTTCACTGTTAAGTAATGTTGAAGAGGAAAACATAGTACTAGTAGGAAGAGACACTGTCTATTTATTTGAACAACACTGTAGTCTGACGCAAGAAAAAAAACGTCCTTGTTCACCAAAACAAAATGCCTTTCAACAGTTTCATGTCCTGGAAAAAAAAACATTTGGTAAGATTTTATTTTGATAGGCTTCATACACTATCTTGCCCTCATCAGAAACAGCCCAAAAAGTGGCTCAGTTTTTTTTTTTTGGTAAACATGTTCGGAGTATGGGGATACCAAAGTAAAACATGTTCAGGATGTGGAAAAGTATACCACGCCACTTGTGGTGGTTGTGTACAGTCTATGGAGAGTCATGAAAATTTTCCAAGTTCTTTAACAAACTTGGGAATGTTTTTCACATTTTGTATTCCAACATGTTCGCAGTGACTGACCATTGTCATCACTGAGGTTATTTATGTTGGAAATAAAGTGGCATCTCGATACTGCATTCTACCAAGATGGATCTCTGCTTATTGAAAAAGAGTTTTTTAGCAAAACTAGAGAAAATGTTAATTATTTCTTGCGCCAATTTTCTGTGCATGAGGGTATCAAAGTAATATCTTACCAAAATTTTAAAATAATTTTTAAGTTGATTAAAGACATTTACTGAAGTGGGGTTTGAACCTGCGACCTCGGGAATATCGTACAGTTTCCGAATACTAATATCTAGTGAGTTTCCCTTTGTGTGGTAAATCGTGTAGTTTAGGACGCCTCCCTTTTTTTTTTCTTGCTCCGTTCAAAAATAACTTTTGCAAACGACTTTTGCAGCCCCAAGCTGTCTTTTTTATTTAGATTAACTCTAGGTTTTTGTAACTTTGTTAAATGAGACGTTCTTACCTGTTTTGAATTAGAGATGTGTGAGTCACAGCAGTTCAGGTGCTGTCATCATTTTACCCCATACTTTTCCTCATAAATAAAAACCCTGCCTCTTTCTACACAATTAAGCCTGCTGTCTGCTGATATTCAATATGGTATTAGCGAACTAAAAAATATAAAATTACTTTCCTGCTGGTAACTTAAGTCCCAAAACATAAAAGTGTCTGTTCGTTCTCTTATATTATGGAAAGGGTTCTAAACTACACGATTACCCTTTGTGGTTCATTGCAAAATGCTAACAAAAAAAGTAAGATTTTATACCAAGCAACTGGAGACTTACCTCACTGTCGGCCCAGATGAGTTTCAGCTTATAGCCGGGTAGGATGTCCGGACGGTTGTTAACATCCTCGAGGGCCATCTGCGCGGCAGGCAGTCCGGCCTGCCCGCCATCCCACGTCCCGCCGGTCATGGACATTGTGCTGCCGATGTAAAGGTTAGTCAGCCCGTCAGGTGCGGGGGTTGTCTCCGAGTCCCCTTGGCTCTTCGAGCCAGCCTCACCGCCTGAGGAAGTTGCAGCTCGGAGCTGGGACAACAACGAGATGTTGAGCACGAGGAAGACCAAGAGATGTTTTAAATTCCGCCGCATGGTGTTTGGTTATCGGGGACCCGAAAAAAACTGAGTACCGGTTGGCAGATGGATCGGACCGGTGATCGAGGCAGGCCGTACCGTACGGAGGTGGGTTCAACTCGGGCAATCGTACGATTAGATTGCCAAGTCGGCTGGGCTTCGTTATCGGACTCTGCTGATTGATGGGCCGACCCTTGCCCGAGTAAGCTAGCTTTATGCCCCGCACGGTCCTCTCGGCTCGCGTGCTGGTGATTAGTCCACCGAGGGTGAAGCGAACCTGGCTGTGGCCAGTTGCAATTTTACTTCCAAAATGGTGTCGCCGACAACACAGCCGTGATGAACCTAGGCCTACAGACGACAACTGTACCGATTGACATCAGTGATCACTGGAACTTCAGGAGCATCCGAGTCTGAACATACGCTGCATGCAAAAGCTGGGAAATATCTGACCATAGATCTGACATAATTCAGTATACAGTGATCCAGCTGACGACGTATACATATATGCAACCGTATGATGCTAACAATGTGTGTGTGACGATTTTGTACTTTCTGCAGCGCGCGCGCGGGCAAACTGCGGCCTTGAATGTGGCACGTGCAGATTCAGCGGTTCATTACACAGCGCCCTCAACGTCGCTCTATGTAGCATGACGCGACCTTTAACCTCATAAGTCATATCGTCTGCTTCTGCATGCTGCTCGAACAACCACGCTGCAAAATGAGGTACATTTTCTTCCTGAATTACTCAATAACATTGAAGTAGTTGATCAAGTGTCATAATGTTTATTTGATCTGGACTATTGTGGTTACTTTTTAGTTCAGGGAAACCAAAGATCGTTGAAGGGAAAATGTGAAATTGGCTGGCTGAAATAACTTGACAAAACCACTTGGATTTCACACGCAGTGACGCACACACATGATTTGAAATGGCGCTGGTTTAAATAGGCCTGATGACAACAGTATTGCAGTACTAGTGCTAGCTCCATAAATCGTGTAGTTTAGGACCCCATTCCGTAGAACGAAATGACACTTTTATGGACTTAATACCTAAACATTTGGCGAAAGAATGTTGGGCACAATGTAGCCCGACTGCGTCTGGCTGTAACTATCGCAAGCTCTGTAGTACGCAGAGCTTGCGATAGTACTGTACGGCCAGACGCAGTCGGGCTAGGCACAATGTTGCATCTTGAGGCTTCTTTTTTCATCAAATTGTTATCAATGAAATCATGGTCGTCATGTCATTGCAACAATGTTTTGTTGGCGATCGTCACCATCACCGTGTAGTGACTGGCCCCTATTTGGTTTCGATCAAGAGTCAAGAAATAAGACAGTTTATCATTCAAAAATGACCTTTTTCAACCTAAAACCTAATGGGGGGGGGGTTTCCTCAGCAAAAAAATCTGAAAATGTACACAGGTTTTTTCTCCGGACACTTGGCCTCCGTAAAATCAAAAACTGGTGGGGGGGGGGGGCCTGGTACCATATTTCAATAGGGGGCGCTGTTCAAATTCGACGGTTTGACACCTTTTTTGGGAAAAAATTCCATACCTGGAGTCTAGACATCAAAAATTCCGTTTTCTCAGTAGGCCTAAATGTTTTAATATTTTCCCTGCTAAATTTGACTTTTTAGGACATGTTATCGTTTTCTGATGGCTGATAAGTCATTACAATGTGCATTCTTTTTTTGAAGTAAAAAAAAAAATACATGTACTTATTTTTATTTACACTTACAGCTGCGAAGTTTGTGAGCAAGTTCAACCCAAATATAAGTGCCCTGGATGTAACGTAAAGACATGCAGGTATGTTCTAATCTAATTCCTACTGATTTTACTTCACATAATATCCTAAAATCTGAGATTTATCTCGACAGTTGCCCCAGATGTTTATCACTTTACTGGCAGGCAACATATACCTTTACCGCACAATGCAGACAATTAAATTTACATTGGCCCATGGAAATCTTTTGAGATTTAGAATAAAATTGTTTAGTATAAAGTCATTTCAGTATCGTTTCGGTTTGCAGTAACACCATGTGGTAATAACTACTGCTTAGGAGATATTTAGTTCTGAAAAGAACTTGTCCTGCTTATTATCAACTTTCACTAATTAGTTTTTGTTCTATGAGATTTGAAGGTTTGCATGGTGGAAAGATACTAAGACAAGATAAGTTTGCGGTAGCACCATGTGAATAAATCTCTTTTGTGAGTATGTGTGGTTCTGAAAAGAACCGGAGGGACTCAACATTTCGAACAGTATGCTCTGACGACGGGCAGAGCATACTGTTCGAAACGTTGAGTCCCTCCGGTTCTTTTCAGAACCACACATACTCACAAAAGAGATTTATTCACATGGTGCTACCGCAAACTTATCTTGTCTTAGTTTCTGTTCTGATACGAACAGTCCTGCTTTAAGTTCGAAAAGAACTTGTCTTTGGTCTCAACGTTTCGACTAGCCTGCTCTAGTCATCGTCAGGAGTCATTTCTGAGTAAAGAAGTAATTCTTGCCAAAATGTGCAAAAGCTTTACCACCAAGTTTCACTACATGAGACTGAATTGCATGTCGTTGTCTCCACAGCCTGCATTGCGTGAAGAAACACAAGACAGCTAGGGGCTGCAATGGGGTCCGAGACAAGACCACTTACGTCTCCATAAAGGGATTCACTGATCAGCATTTACTCAGTGGTAAGCATTCAAGTCTTTCAGTGCTCGGGTCGTCCCGTTAATTCTTTTCACACGATGGTCTTTTAAAGGGAAGAAACAACATTTGCAAACATCAAAAAACAAAATGATCAAATTATCACCAAATTCTTTACTGGACTGTTAGGGAATGACAGTCTAAAGCTTCCTGTAAAATCATGGCTCCTGTTGTGCTGACATTTCTAAGTAAAGCGGTATTTTTGTATCAATTTCCAATGCTGGTCGGCCGACCAGCATTGGAAAAACTGGCTATTTTCAAAAACTGCTCCTTGTTGTTCATATTAGTTATTCCGCATTTTCTTTGCAATTGATTACACACCTGTAAAGGGGTACAAGCCAGCTAGACTGATTCTCTGACCTTATAATTCCCCAACAACTATAAATTGCTCCGTTTCATCTTAAGTGTGGTCAGGGAACCAGACTACAAGGTTTTCTTGGTTTTTCGAGCATCTACGAACCCAAAGCGTGAAACAAGTCAGTGTAACAATATTTGCTATAAAATACTATTCCTCCAAATCCATTTATTTCTGAAAATTACAGCAAAAGCAAATGTTGTACATTCCCTTTAATTTGTTAATTCTTTTCACACGATTTCACGGAGCTGAGTGATATTAAAGGAGAAGCTATTATTTAGCAAATTTATGATCCAAGCATTAATGAGCCGGGAACCTGCCACAAGCCATAGACATTACGTGGCATTATGGCTGGTAACCGGAGAGTCTGTGCCTTGCAGTTTCAATGAAATCAGCCCCAGACTTTATTTTGTCCACATCATCATCCTTACTGGTCTTTCAGTAAATGGTCTTAAATGCTGTAGATTGTTACTGCCATCACTGAATGGATTAAACTTAAATCTCAAGACAATGGGAGGAATCATCAGCTCCCTAAAATCACACCTTTTAAGGGTGCCGTATTTATGGGGGGCATGGTGCTATGCGCTCTCCCCCGAAGAGTTTTTTTTTTTAAAGTAGGCTTTTCACAACTTTGTTGACTTGTTGCAATGAAGAGTGCCACCTATTGTCTGATGGTGGCCAATATCATCTTAACAGTGCCTCCAATAGTCAGATGGGGTTCCCTCCTCCACCCAATTTTTTTTTTTGGGGGGGGGGGTGGGGATTTACCAACGTCTGGCACCAGAAACAATCGTGGTTACCTTCCAGCTAAGACAGTCTGCTTAGCCCACTTGTAAGCAAAATCCTGCATACGTCATGCCCATGAAACAAATGTGATAACACTAAAATGTAGAATTGTACTCGCATCATAAAACAAATCTTAGCCCTAACTCCTTATCGTCTTTTACTAGGAACTGGACCAATTTCATCAAAATCCATCAATCACTGTGCTTCCAATACAAAACTGTACATGACATAATTTAATCCACCACTGACGCACTGGTTGACATTCATGGACTTGCTACACATGGCTTAATTTTATCACAATAGCAGTACAGGAGGCTAGGCAAAATCAATCGGATACCCCTAGCACTGCTTCAGGCCAGTAGACCCAAGTCCATCATACTCCATCAATATTTAGCCACGCCAGGCCTTCTGGACCAAGTCCCCCCAAATCCACCAAAATGGGGGGATGGATTTTGATAGAGTTGTAAATTTGCAAGTACATGTACATACATAGGGGATGAACTTGGTCACAGTTCATATGAATGGCTTGTGACTAATGACCAGATAACTTGTGATGATTCTTGTAAGACCCTTTCTACCACTCTGCTAATAACATTCAAATGTTCATGTGTTTCAATACTGCATGTATTCTCGGAGTGTGTATTTTGTAGTGTCCAGATTTTATGCAGCTTCGTATATGAACTGCAAACATTTACACAGGTGTAGTGCCAAGTTTATTCTAGTACAAGTATTTTTTTTGTCGAAACTTGATGTTTGCCTTGATTAAAATTCGTCGAAAGGGACTCAGTCAGTGCATCAGAGTGCCAAGGCTTAAATAATCTCTTCAACTGGCCAAGACTCTCAAATACTTGCCGTTTTCTTCTGTATCAACATGGAATCTATCTAGTCTTGTTATTGTAAGCTTTTGTCCACACCCTGTGTGTAGTGTTTTCTCACTGAAATAACAGAAGTAATTGTAATGCAAAGAGCAGTGTTAAGATATGCTACATTGTTGAAGCTCTAACTAAAGTCGGTTTTGCGAAAACTGATCTTAAATTTGGTGCTAAAGTTACTGCAAATCCAGTTACTCCAACTGTAAAAACACAATCAGCAACAGTTTAACCACGTACTGCCTGCCTCCACAGCAATGGTTCACTCCCTCACTTTCTTCCTCCGCACACATCATTGTTTTTGCATGAGCCTCTCAGCCCACATACACACAAGCCACACAACATTCTCAGTTTTCACGTGCTGCTTCTCCCCGACACAAATCCACCTGTAAATCACACCTATAGCTTACATATATTTCCCCAAGGCACCACAGATAAGACACCATGGATTCGTGTGATTATCCCGGGGGCACAGACACACATCATACGTGCCGAGAATATGTTGAAAAATGATGAGAGAGTCTTTATTTCTTGATCTTATTTTCGAGGTATCTGCATTACAGGGGGAACATAAACCTGGATGATTACAGTTATAAATAGTGCTTGTTTCATGTTATATGCGATTTCCCATGTGGGATTATCTGGCGTTGTCACGGTATATGTCCAGTTGATCTGCAAGTTGGTCGATTTCCAATTTTCCGAGTTGAAGCAAACATCGTAAGATCATTGGATTGTTAAAAGGTAATGCACAACATTAAATGGATGGATTTGAGGGTTATTATTTTATAGCAAAGATTGTTAAACTGAACTGTGTAATGTTTAATGTTCATTGATGCTGGAAAACAAAGGAAAAAAAAGGCTGTTCTTGTAGTCAGGTTCCCTGACCCTACTTCAAACGAAATGGAGCAGTTTATAGACGTCGAGGAATTGACAGGTCAGGGAACCAGACCTTAGCTGGCTTGAACCACTATGTCGCCCTGTTCATTGATTGCTAACAAGATGTGGACTAACTAAATTTGGGAAATTTGTTGCAGTATTTGAAGAAGAAAAAAATCAGATTTTTCCAGTGATGGTCAGTCGACCATCGTTGGAAATTGGTACAAAAATTCCACTTTGCTTGAAAATGACAGCACACCAGGTGCGATGATTTCACAGGATGCTTGAGACTGTTATTCACTCAAGGTATTTCGTAGAATTTGGTAGTTTTGTGTGTTAAGTATGTTTGCAAATGTTACCTTTAACGTCAGCAGGAGTGTAATCTTGATGAAAAATTCATAAATCAGTTCTCTTGTACTGTCACTATTGCACAATCGTTCGCCTTTCCTACCCTTCCACTGCATTTCCTTTTATGGCTCTCTCCGTTAGGGAACAGCCGGGGAACATACTTTCTAGCATTCAATTAATGTGCAGTTTCCAATGTTATGAGCAATAAATGGCAGGTGTGCGGTTGTGTCATGACAACCGCGTGCATACTGAGCCTTTGAGTAAAGACCCTCACATGTCATTACAACTTTTTCCCCGTTGACAGAAGCAGCTCATTTCTTGCTCTCTTTCCAAAGCCAACACATTGACTATTAACGCCAGACTTGTAAGTGCAGTTGTGCTAATGTCTACTGTGTACTGAACATGAACGTGGACATGTATACATTACATGGTCTAGTGCTTACATGTACAACGTGCACTGTGTGTGTTGGCGTCATCTTCGAGAATCTACCTCTAAGCATATCAGGGGTCTATTTTACGATAATCTCACTGCACTAAACAAATCAAGAGACAATACGCACTTGACATCATAGGCCTTACAGGTGTAACTGCAATTTTTTTTTTCAGATTATTATTTTTTGCTGACTGACCGACCCTCCTTCAGAGGCAAAAAAAAAATGAGAACCATAGAAATAAAAAGGCACGCCCTAAACTTTTCAAATCTATTTGTGCTTTCTGAATTGGCTAATTTAGTTTTGTAATTTAAACCTTTGCCAAATTATATATAATTCTAAAGTTTTACCTCGAAAAAGAGATATTTCTAAATTCCTATTTTTCTAGCAATATGAAAAATATTCACTTTTGAATGAGACATCGACCAACAAAAATTCCTCCCATGTTTAGTTAAGAAATGTTTACCTTACGAATTTCAAATTATTTGTGGTCCAACAATAACTGACGTATATATGTTTGTGCGTTACAGGCACAAATGCAACCCGCATTGAAAGCGTATTTTCAGAGGGTTGAAATATTCCAAAATAGAAAAAAGAAGAGCTTTATCTGTTTAAATAAAACATTAAAATTGAGGTGTTTTTTTTATATTGACAGACTACCGATTTCTGGAGGATGTGGATCGCAAAGCCTACAGTGCCATCACAGACGACATCGCCAAGCAAACACAGTACAAACCTAAAGTAAGGATCTGATTGGATACGGTTTTGCACTTTTTAAGTGCATCTGATTCTGAGAGTAGATTGAAAGTAGACTTGGTTAGGATTCGAACCCACACCCTGCTTAAGTAAGACACAGACTGGATGAGGTTTTGCACAGGTCAACATTGTTAGTACACAGATAACTTGCCATTCATGACAGCTGACATATTATCGAGTACATCTTAAGAAAATTCTAAAAATGATGGGTTAGGATTCGAACCCTTAACTTGCTCAAGTAAGACACAGACCGAGCGAGATGTTGCATTGGACAACATTGTCCGTCAGATTATTTAGCAGTCTCGAGTGCGGACTGCCGAGTATATCTGAGGCAAGATTGAAAATAGAGTTTGATTGGATTCGAACCCAGGACTTGCTTAGGTATACTAGGCCTATATGAATAAAAAGTGGATGGGGTTTTGCAATTAACATTATACGTGTATGTATAATTAGCGGTCTTGATTTCTAATGTCTTGAGTACATCTTATTGAAGATTCATAATGGATTTGGATGGGATTCGAACCCTTAACCTGCAGCCAGGGTTAGACATCTCACCTATGAACCACTCAGCATTTCTCCTGTTATTTCTGTTCAAAAATCCTTCTCAAAAAACTAGTTGGCATAAGATAGATGTATTTTTTGCTGAATTTACAAATGTTGCATAAATATAACCTGAACCAACTCATTTAGCCAGTTTAGGCTAAATTCTCAAAGATTTATGTTTGGGAGACGTTCAAGGCAATTTTTGTTTAATCCTGTTTAATCCTCCAGTACTACCAGTTGCGAAAATTTTGCCAAACTCGCAAGACGTTTTTGAAACTCCTCCCGCCCTCGTTCAGCAGACACAAAGAAAACACCAGCTGGGTCAGCAAAAGGTCAGTAATATAATATTAATTAAATCATTAAAAATAAAAATAAAAATTGCTTAGTCAAGCCATATTTGTTATTAATTGATACACAGATAGTTTGATCAGAGTGTGTTTTCATGGAGGTGCTAAACCAGAAAGTATTGCCAGAAAAGTGTTACATGCTGAGCACAATTCAGCTGGGTACCAGTCACAAACAATGGACATCACATGTCATTTTGGGTGGTAACCTTTTATTTATGCTAAGCGATTTGTTTGTACACGAATATCTGCGCTTAGCAGCTTGATAACAGTTGACCCTATCTGGGTCACCGATTCTTGTTTTGTAACTTTGGGGACTACACACGAGTTTTCCCATGGTACTATGGTGACCGAAATCACTATGGGGGCAGCAGAAAATCCCCATAAGTCAGTCCTAATTACGCTAAAAATGACAAACTCCCCCATAACGCGGTGACGGCCCGTACAATTAAAGTTGTTCTACCCAAACTCTTCAACAAATTTAATATGTTTTTATTTTCAACAAGTTTTTCATTTGTATGTTTTATTTAAGTTGGAAAAAAAGCTACTTTTTGTGTATTTTTTACGTTTTATACCCTTTTTCAAAATATGGTTAAATGTTTTGGTTGTTGATAACGCATAAAGGATACTAAACTTTAAGGTCAGTACAATGTCATTTTAATAAAAATACCAAAAAACTGCTTAGCCTGCTAAAGTGCTATAGACTCTGTGAGCTCTTGCTTAGCATCATGGAGTAAGTAAGTACTGGCAAGTAATAAATGCTACATATGTATGAATGATACTGGCACATGCAATTAACGTAAGAAGGCCTGCCTCTACTTTGTTATGACCATAGATGCGAGCTGAAAAATCCAGCCTGAACGCCTTTTTCCACCCTTAATTGTTAAACAGTTTCCTGTAGGAAAGCCAAGCCTCCACATTCAAAAAAAGAAAAATCTCTTCAATTTTTTTCCTTTCCTTCTACATCCAACCCCCCCCCCCCCCCCCATTTTTTCTCTTTTTTTATCCCCCGCTAATTTTTGCACTCTGAATGATTAGTAAGGTCCCAAGTCGGAAACAGGAACTTTTTAGTCCCGTCATTATTCTCGGCACGCGATAGATAGACATGTTGGAGTCGTCCTTTTATTCAGAAATGGATTTTTTTTTACAATCTTTATTACCCGGTTGTCATGTCCGTTTTTCTTGGGCTCAGGGCACTTTGCGACTGAAATTGGCTTTCATCGGACTCGCTCTAGCATTTCTTTGCTCAATTATGGCCTGCTCCTGTGTCCATCGGTATCCCTAATGCATTCCCCCCTCCCCCACCCCCCCCCTTGCGATTGCAGGCCGAAAGACAGTCAGGCGATGGGCCTCTTCTTTGGATTCTAGTCCTGGCGTGAAGACACTGAATGGCTCAGTTCAGGAACATTAATGTTGTAGAGACTGTTACCTGCCAAATACGGTTACTGACTAAAGTCTCACTCTGAACATGTTCTTCTTTTTTTTCGCATTTTAGCTTTTTGATAATGGATACTCTTATTTGATTTTTAAGGATTTGTCTACTAGTGGGATTTTCAAGCCTATAGATCAAAATAGTTTTGGGGTTTTTTTGGTGGGGAGGGAAATTTTTGTAAGGGTTTTCTAATTATGGCAGTTAAAATAACAAATTGCTTTCTGTCAAATCCTGCATTGTCGGTGTTTTAGTGTGGAAATTCATTCTGTATACTTTGAACTAATATGTTTTACATCTAGCCATCTTATATCTTTACGTTTAGGTTAAGATTGGGTGAAAGATTAACTTGATGTAAAAAACCTTCTTCTTTTTTAAATTTAAATTGTTTACTTTTTGATTGAAAATGAAAGCTATAATTATGATATTTTTTCTATTTCCTTATATATTGAATTTTTTTCAAATGAAGGAAATGGGAGGGTTAAAGGGACATAACTGCCAGAAATCTCTTCTTTTTTTTTGGATTGTTTACTTATCTTACATGTATTTCAAAGGTCTACTTGAAAGGACACTTTCCCATTTCTTTTATTCCACTCGCCAGTCTTCCACTTGAAATGAACTCTTTTCAGTTCTAGTATCGCTTACCGCCCGCCCACTTTGTTTAATTCTTCTCTTTGTTTTCCCCTTTGGCTTTTTTTTTCTACCTATCATACGCCCCGCCCCCTCTTGTTGGTTTTTGGGGGGATTTTGGGGGTTTTTATATACAGAAAAGAAAACACAATATAATTAATTAATAGGATCTGGTTTTCCTGTGGTAGGATGGCTCTGTAGAGGTGCTAGTCACCTGTTCCATCTTGCCACTCACTGGCTTAATCCGTATTCTGGCATAAACTCTTTTTTTAATAATTTATTGAAATTGTAAAGTCTCTGTATTTTTCATCTGTGATTCTGTATATCTTGTAATTTTTTTTATATCAGCCAATGGAGAAGTGTAATAAAATAAATAAAATAAATAAAAACTAATGTCTTACTGTTCCCGAGAAGAGACCAAAAAAACCTGGTTGTTTACATTGGTGGACATTTCATTCCATTGTGTGCCGTGCTCTGGTGAGAATTCTTTTTTTTTAATTCTTTCTTTCTTTCTTTTTTGGTCAGAGAGAAAGTGATCAACTGGCGAGTGCACTGGAAGTTCCCTCAGAGTGATGCGGAATATATCGACAAAAGGTAACCAAAAATTCCCTTTTTCTCTTTTTTTAAAACCAAACTGCATGAAATTACAATAAAAGATTCAGACAAATAATATAAACGATTGTTTTCTGTGGATGTGAAAGGTCACAGTATTGGCAAGCAAAAGTGGTACATTAGAGATCTGAAGCGAGAAGAAAATATCTTATTTGTTTTATTTTTTTAATTAGGATTTTTAACAACCCTGATCTACATTAAAATGTCAAATTGAGTGATGAACAGTATTAAAATTAGAAACCAAATGTTCTCTTTTTACAACAAATTGAAAACTGATAAGTGAAAAAAGGTCTCGAGGTCAGAACATGGGTAAAAAAGACTGACCAATTTAAGGAGAACATTCTTAAAGAGGTTGTGGAATGCTCAAAGACATTTCCGTCATTTTTTTGGTATATGTAGCCTAAGGTGTGATGAAATAAAAACGACTATTGTTTCTGTCATGAAATGAGTACAAAGGGTACTTTTGAGAGCTATTTTTCAGGTCCTGTTTCGACCCGAACGTGCAATTTGTGTAAAATTCGTCGTTGCGGGCAGCAAACAAAACACAGTAAATCGTGACGTAATAAACAGGACTCGTTTATGCTACTCTGCATCGGGAGTCCTGTTTATTACGTCACGATTTACTGTGTTTTGTTTGCTGCCCGCAACGACGACTTTTACACAAATTGCACGTTTGGGTCGAAACAGGACCTGAAAAATAGCTCTCAAAAGTACCTTTTGTACTCATTTCACGACAGAAACAATAGTCGTTTTTATTTCATCACACCTTAGGCTACATATACCCGAAAAATGACGGAAATGTCTTCGAGCATTCCACAACCTCTTTAATCAAGGATAAGATACGGATGGTATCAAATATCCTATGAAATTATTCCCCACTGAAATGATATCATTTGGAAGAAGCAATCATTGAAGATGGTTTAAAATTACCCGCGGGCAACACTTTTGAAAATGCGTTAGCAACAGGATCCAGTTACGAGACCCAAAAAGTTGCGCATGTTTTCTCTGGTTTCTTAAAATGGATAGTTTCCACTTAGCTAAAACTTCCGCAGGTTAGTTGTTACGCACACTGCTTAAGATTTTGAGCAATTTTGTGGCTTCAAAACGACAACATAATGTGCATAAAGCAAGTAATCCTATGTCCCTTTAAGACTCGTTTTGCGGGATCCTTTCATAAAATGGTATATTACTATTAGGGTTGTCTGGGGAATAGGAAGCAAGTGGCCCTATAGATGACACCCTCTGATGGAGAGGGAAATTAAGCAGAACTCTCCCCCCCCCCCTCACTCTCTCGCTTTATCCCCCTATCTATTGCCGGTTCTCAGAACCGAGGGCTTGTAATGGGATCTCAGAACTTGTGTGGGTCTCAAAGGAGTTGTTGTAGCAGTTGGTCACGGTGAAGGAACCAGGGGGAAATTTCCTAGTGCTGCTAAGCGCGCAGTTTTCTGCTTACAGCCACTGTTGATTTCAGTAAGCATAGCTCGGGTTGAAATAGCTTAGGCAAAAAAAATTGTGTTGATGGTAACCCCACCCACCTCTTTCCGTTTTTCTCTCTTTTTTTTTCTCTCTTTTTTTTTTTTTTTTTTTTTTTTTTTTGTGCGGCCAAGTTGCTGCCCCCAAACTTTCTTATTACCACGTTTGGCTAAAAAAAATTAAACAAAGTATATTCTGAAAATAAAAAATCCTGCAAATTCTTTGTGTGTTATTGGTCGAGTGAACAATTTAATTCAATAGGTTGAAGATATCCTAAAGCAAACAAAGTATAATAGGTGATGAACCTGTGTTCACAGGTTCACAGTATAATAGACTGCCAGACAAACATAGAATTAGTTACAGAAATATATTTTTTCCCTACCTACCTGGATAATTTTAGGGTGTTACCATACAGACGTATTTTTTTGGGGGGGGGGGCTTAGCAGAATTTTACTGTTCAGTGCACTTCCGTAAAGTTAATCCCCTATATTTAGTGCAGTAAGATCACCTGTCTTTTAATAGGATCAGGAAGAAATTACTTCTCAGAAAAAAATATCCTGAGGTATCAAATGTTTTGATCGATCCGTCCTTCCCGAAATATCTCAACTTTGATTTCTTGCCACTTTAATCCCTCGGGAGAACTGAAGAGAATTTTAAAAGCCAGCAGTTGGGCTTTGAAGTGACAAAGACAGAAAGGCCTCAAGATTAATAGTGCAGTTGCTCTGGCCCATTGGCTATCGCAGCTTTTGACAAAGAAAAAAAATGCTCTGATAATATATTATTAAAGAGAATATACATGATTGGCTTTTGCTATAATTTTCAGAAATGAACTATTTGAGGGGTTAGTATAATAGATCAAATATTGTTAGACTGACATGTTTGAAGGTTTGTGTTCGAAAATGCTGGAAAAACCAAGAAAAACAAAAATGTTCAAGAAGTCTGGTTCCCTGACTCCACTAGATATAAAATGGATCAATTTACAGATGCCGGAAACTTGTAAGGTAATGCAACCAGTCTAGCCGGCCTGCACCCGTTCACGAAAATGTAACCAATAGCAAACAAAATTTGAACTGAAAGAAAAATGGTTAATTTGGAGCAGTAGTTGAAAAATAGTTAGGTTTTTCCAACGGTGGTCGGCCGACCACCGTTGGAAATATTTACAAAAATACCATTTTCTTGAAAATGACTTCACACCAGGTGCCATAATTTTACAGGATGCTTTAGACTGTCATTTACCAACATCCTAGTAAGGTATTTCGTAAAAACTAGGTAGTTTTATTTTTCGATGTTTGCAAATGTTGTATATTCCCTTTAACTTTAAAACATGTAATACACATTGGAAATAAGATTAAACAAGTACAGGGCGTAAATTCACTACATGCTGTTGGGTAAAATACATTGATTGTATACAGAAGATTGTTACAATAATCAAGTCTTTTGGTAACATGCGTGAATAAGGGTGACTAAAGAATTATGGGACAAAAACTTGCTGATGCGTCAGATGTTATGAAGGTGGAAAAAAAGATATGGAACAAGACTTGTTTAAATTTCGTAGAAGATTTTTGAAAGTACTTCAGTTTGTTGAATGTGGTATCTGATGTTTGATTTGCCTTGTGGTCTGATCTTTTTTTTCTACAAATGTACTTGTAGTAAAATGTAACATCTTCTACAGTGTGTCCTTTATTACAAAAATGTATCAAGCTTTTTAGTCTGATTTATTTTGGGAATTAAAATGGGTTTGTTAAGTCAGACAACATGAACTAAACAAAAAACACTTGTAATGGGAAGAATGCATGACATCAAAAAGAATTACATTACAAAAGAAAAAACTTACGTTGAATTCGATTCGGCATTCAACGGCCGTTAACCTTCGCACCTTTCAAAATCTGAAATGGCATTCTGTTCAACCTCCGTTCCTAACTCGTAATGCGCCAATACATGTGACGTCATTCCCGTGATGGTCACTTCCTCGGCCCTAAAAGCTCCGCGTCTGTGCAGGGCGGTGAGAATTTCTAAAGAAATTAAATTTGCTTAAGTGCCCCTTGCAATTACCAACATCGTGACGGTCAGTTTTTCCTCGATACGTGACTCGTTCTTGTGGGATTAAATGGAAGGAGGCATATTCCACGAATGAGAGAAATTTGCCAAAAAATATTTGCTGAGTCGTGCTAAAAAAAAAATGCATTTCTGAAAAGAAAAGAAAAAAATGGGCACACACACATAATAAGACAAGATAAGTTTGCGGTAGCACCATGTGAATAAATCTCTTTTGAGAGTATGTGTGGTTCTGAAAAGAACCGGAGGGACTCAACGTTTTGAACAGTATGCTCTGTCCGTCGTCAGGAGAATGAGGGATTCCAACGATGATGCGATGCTATAAGGATGGTTACTGTTGGAAATGTTGAGTCCCCCCGGTTCTTTTCAGAACCACACATAATCACAAAAGAGATTTATTCACATGGTGCTACCGCAAACTTATCTTGTCTTAGTATCTTTCCACCGTGCAAACCTTCAAATCTCACACACACACATAATGTTTTTTGCCGTAGGCAGTTGTTTCTAATCCTGTGCCAGTTGTGTGTGAAAGAAAGCACTGACTCCTGCGAATCAATTTTCAATTTGGGAAATTGGCTTCGTCAGGAATTAAAAGAAAGGTAGATGGCAAGGGAAAGATAGGACAGTGAAAGATCCGATTTGTTTATGTCCCCAAGATACCCTTTTGAACAAGTCTTCAGTCAGATGTTTCTGAGCACGCAGCCTTACATATACTTGTGGGGAAGGCCTGTGTTTCCCTTCTTTTGTTCTCCTTTCTTCCCATTGAAATCTCAAACTCCATTGCGTTTCCTTTACAGGGAAGATGAATTTCTAAAGACTTCCTGTGGGGTCTCTTGTTCTATTGTGTTTTCTGCCCCTTAAGGAACCATGCACATGTACAAAGATTCCCCTGGTAATGTGGTACATGTACATGTGCTCAAGGCACACATAACACTCAATTCGGAATCGTGTATTTGCACATCATGTACTTTGTTTTATCTTACCTGAAGCAATTGTTGCTGAATTTTAATTTGAAATGTTGCACTCTACATTCTGTGTACATGCGACTGTCCAATATGGAGTCAGTGGTTTCCAGAAAAATATGTCTATTTTTCATTTCCAATAATTCAAAATTTGTTGTTTCATGCCAAGGAAATCGGAGATAAATACCAGCACTATGAGCCATATCTACAAAGGACAGACTTTTTAGCAATAGCCTATCACTTTTGTACAGTTTTCTCAATAACTTTTTGTCGGAAATGTCTGCTTACTCTTGAACCCAACACCGAACGCCACAGAAGTTGCTAGCGTTGCAAGACCTCAAGTACCCAAGTTGACATTAACATGAAATTCACGTCTCCCAACAACGACTTTGTTTTGAAACCGTAACCCCTTCGAAATCTAAAACCCAAAACGCGACCCTAGAAAAGAAAAAAAAGAAGAAGTTAAAGAGGAACTCACAAAGATAATGAAACTCTTTCGATGTGACTCACTCACTCATGGCCAGTCAACCGGTGTCTGGAGTGCCAATTAAAGCGTTGCGTTTCCTCCGAAAAAGTGAAGAATGCTTGGTCGAGAGGACTCGTGTGAACGACACCAGTCGGAGTGTGGTCATTTTGTGTTCCCTTTCGTTACGGTTCTCTAGTGGCTGGGCTATTTCACGCATTTGATGTAGAAGTGGATGAGTTGTATCGTTTACAGTTGTTCACCAGTTTCGATACATTAGTCGGTGTTTGGGAAAACCTGCAAAGCAAGTCGAAATTTACAAAGAAGTTTTCTTTTTCTGTTTGTGTTTTGTGTGATTTAAAGCGGACGTGTGATATTCTGTTGGTCAATATTAATAGTGATGTTTAAGGAGCACAGAGCTTGTAAATTTGAATCAGTTTCAATCAGTAGCAATGCTTTCTCCAAACAGATAAAGGAATATCCTAAAAATATGGATTTGGTTTGAAAATTATTGTTTATTTGCGAGAACATTATAGTTAATACTACAAAGTCTTCCAATACCAGGGGGCCAAATTTGAGCAACTTTGAGTCAGGACTTTTAAAGTACAGTTGCTGTATAGTACTCAGTATTGACAAGAATGTACAAAGAAATGCATTTAAACTAAAATTAAAAAGAGCATATGTTATGCCGTTAAAGGTACATTTGCCTTTCGTGAATTTTGTGTGTGAAGCAACAAAATTGCTCACAATCTTAAGAAGGGTACGTAACAAATAACCTGTTTGAGTTTCAGCTCAGTGGATAATATACATTTTGAGGAATAGAGAAAGCATGCGCAATTTTCTGGGTCTCATAAATGAATTCCATTACTAACGCAAGTAAAGCATGTTTCCTGTGAGCACCCTTTTTTGAAACCACTTTCAATGTTAGTTTTCTTCCAAACGATACAATTTCAGGCGGAATAATTTCACATGGTGTATGATACCAGTCCTATCATCGCTTGGAAATCGGTACATGAACTTTTTTGGTATTTGCAAAATGATCCTCTGTGGCCTTAAGATTACTCTGTTGTGCCTTGGTTTGACAGTGTCTGTGAAGACCGAACATTATGTGACATCCTGGCCACTCATCTCGATCCAGGCAAGGGGGATCCTGTGCAACGACAAAGGTTGGTTGTGAAATTCTTGGAGCTTTTAGGAAGTTCAAAACATAGCTTGCAAACTTACACATCGTCTTTATGAAGTTGTTTCTTGTTACGTTCCCTCCAGTGGTTTAAATGCGTGCGCGTCGCGCGTATTGCGCGATGTCGCGCAAAACGCAGCTGGGCTGGTGAAGTGTGAATTTTCGACCATGAAATACTGATTCACTGGTAGTACATTGCGCATGCAGACGGGAGGAATTTGAACGTTCAGCCAATGAAACGTTAAACGGCACCGGATTTCATAGGAGTCCAAATTTCATGCGACACTGGAAAAGCGTTTAAGACCAGCTAGCCATGTCTTTATCATCCGTTTAAGACCGGCCACGTGACGGGTTCTCGACCAATAGGAATGCGTAAACTGTCTGAGGTATTTATGAATGCCGTTTTACAACTTCAAGTAAGATGGTGGTCTATATTTCCGTTACAGAACTCTGTACCCCTTTATGTTGTATACCATTGGAAAACTCTTGTCCTGCAGAATCCAGATACATCTCAATTCTTAAAATGTCCGATTTTAAGCTCATTTTGTGATGACAGGTTTCATATTGTATTGGCGTGAGTGCCAGGCATTCATGCCCATTATAAATCACTCTTCGTATCCAAGGGAGGGGTACTTAACTCTTTCATTGTCCGCGAAATTTGAAAAGTTTAACCCTAAAGTGCCCTACTTCGAGCGTTTTTTTATAATTGTTCAAAATTCTGTAAAAAAAAGTTGATAAGTTTTATTCACTAAATTTGTTGTTGTTGCTCTCTAGTATATTCTGTGGTACATTGGAAAGTCAATAAGACAATAGTAGTCACGTTCATAGTGCTACACCCTGAAACACTGTCCTGCATACAGGGGAATTCCACACTTTTTGCAGAAAATACGAGTGTCAGTGCTGCGCCCTCTTGCTAGAACTCGAATGAAAAAATAAATACAGGTCGTACCTGAATAAAAATTATATTATTAGAAAGAGCGAGAGCGCCCCCTTGTGATAACATGCTTACTCTGCCTCGTACATGTACGAGGTTTGGCGATTTTAAGTACAAACATTACCTCGTACATGTACGAGGTTGGCAATTTCGAACTAACAAATATACCCCGTACATGTACGACTTTGGCACTGAAAGAGTTAAGCCCAGAGTGTAATCCCATCCCACACTGCTTCTGCTTCACCTATGGCAATAAACAGATTAGCATGTTCCACACATGTGCCTCAGACACCTGAAATTGGCCACCCTTTCACATTTGGTTCACACTTTGCTGGTGTGTAGCGGTCGGTAGATGATTGAGCATCCAGCATAGGTGGATGCACAAAATAGCAGGTGCTTGGTGTAAGTGTAAGGTGCAACACCCTGGCCAGCACCCTAAAATAGCACCTTCATAGGTGCTTATTTATTTCATTGAGCCGTTTAGCGGAAAAATATTGTTTAGCAATTTTATATGCTAATTAAGAAAACAATTGCTGAAGTCAGAAGTATTATACATCACATGAAATACTGTTGTGTAGTCTGTTTTTGCTATAAAAACAAAATAATAATAATATTTAGTAATAATAATAATTACCCTGGATTGGACATTTGGGAGACATTCCCATAGACTTGTGCACAAAATTTTTCAAACTTCAATGTGCCCTAACCCAATATTCCCTTGTCCTTTTTCCACAAATTTTTGTATGTTTACTAATTAGACCACAAGCAACAAAAATAACCTAATTGCGACAATAAAATTGTGCCTCAAAAGGGGGACTGTGACATTAGGGAGACATGAAAATGTCTCCCTAATGACTGATGTCTCCCATCGTGCAAAGAAATTACGATAACGTGTCTCCTTAGTGGTACCTTTAGACGTATAAATTTTTAGAAAATATAAATATTAAAAAAAATCTGTGCTAAGAAAAATCCAATCCTTACCAGCATTTTGAATTGGCCTCTTGTCTTGAATGAGAGTCTGTTATTCTTGCAAGCTGTGGGGCCACATTAGGAACTTGTGGAAAAGTTAACATATTCTTCACACAAATCTGAGGTAGATCGTACATTTATGGGGAGTCAGGTTGGGGAGTGCCTATGGGTGCTATTGAGGATTCTTTAGTTTCAGTAACAGAAATATAACAACAAAATTATAATATTGACATAAAACTTTCTGCCAGCCAAACAATAAAATTATCAAAGCCACAAAAAAAAAACAGAATTGACATCATCAAAACAACTATTTGGCAACTTATGTACCCAAAAAGTAATGACATCAAAGCTTGTTCTTGAGATGACGTCATCTCTGTTTTTAGAAAATTTGGAAATTGGAATAAAACCATACCCATACTTTTCTTGAAGGTTGAAAAAATATTGTCGTCCAGGAGTTAACAATCTCCGACTGTTTATGAAGGAAGAAGGAAGACCGGTGAATTCATTAAGGTAGGACTTTTTTTTAATTTACATTCGTAACAATTTCCTTGCACAAATAACTATTTTCAAAGACAATTTGTTTTCCAGAAGCAATAGTTGTCCAAAGAATATCTGCCGCAGGTTCAGAAAACTCAGTTGGTAGAACACTGGAGCAGCAATCAAATGGTTTGCAGGTTCAAGTCCTGGCTGGTCATCTTTTCATCGCTCAGGCTTGTTCGTTTTGTGGGAAAATAACAGTCATAAAATAGGTCCAACAACAGTCCAAAAATAGGCAGTCGGTAGAGCACTGGAACAGCAAACAGTTGGTTTGGGGTTAGATTCCTGGCCTGGTCATCATTTCCGTTGTTTTGTTATGTAATTTCCAGGTATCACAGGCTTAACTTGGGCACCACGCTGCGCCATAATCTGAGCTGCAAGACGATAATCGAGTTCCCTGTCATCTTTGTTGTCCTCAAAGAGTTTGCTGATAGCTATGAAATGCCAGTGCAGGGTGAGTATTGCCCTGGAGTTTAACTTATAAGTTTAGTGTTGGATTTTGCAAGTGAATGGGGTCGGGTTCGAATCCTGTTGTCAACGTAGGCTGTGCTGAAATGACAACAGTTCTAAATGTGTACCAAGGGCACCATTTGCAAGGCTTCAATTCTCCTGAAATTGTTTTTAATTCAATATCTTTCCTACTAAAATTTAGTTTGGAGGACTAAACAGCTGTGTGGCAAAACAATTGAGAAATTTAAAGGAAAATAAAGCAAAAATTGAAAAAAATCAAGATTTCAGAAAAATAATTGGAGTATTCATAAAAGACTTACATTGTTGACAAAGAATGCAGACTTTTTTTGTCTGGTGGGGGCGATTCAATGGCTCCTTTGGCCACCACACAACCATGCCTTGCTATGTTGCCGAAACCTCACATACAGAAAATTTAACATGAATGGGAAACTGGAGATATTTCTGTGGTTATGTTTGATTATTCCTGGCCATTGCCAGACTAGCCTTGAGTGCCTGCCCAAGCAGAAGATGTAATCGTCAAGTGATGCGCAAATATTTTCCAGCGGATCGCGCTCCTTGAGCGACTCGTTTTCCGGCTTGCTGCTCCTTTTCTTACGGCCAGGCAACCGCGACCTTGAGGTCCAGCACTGTGCTCCGAAAGAAAAAAAAGAAAAGGAACAAAATAAAAAAAGCTTAACTGAATCTTCTGAAGGGCTCAGGCATGGATGGAGTTTCTCCTGTCACAAATGTAGATTTTGTTTTTTCGATGTGTGCGCTGGTTTAGAATTTGTTTATCACAACTAGAGGGCAACAACTTGTAGACGTGTTTGAACAGTTGAAAGCCCAGAGTGGCAGTTTCTGGCACATAAAAAAAGAAAGAAAACAAATGTAGATGAGGAAATAAGAAGTAGGATGAAGAGGGATACGAGAGGTTCGGTCGTCGTGTTTGTCAATATTCTTCCCCTTCAGTTCCTTCCCCGCGGTTCTATACTTTTGTGCTCACTCATACGTGAGCCAATAGCCGTTTATTAAAAAATCGTGATCGTGTGTTTAGATTGTTTCTGTTGAAGTGGCCTTGTGCGCGCCGCTGAAGGATTAGACAATGCTGGGGCCTCGTGACTTGATTGTGAAAAACAAAACCAGGAGTTTTTATTCATGGTGACTTAATGTCTTAGCTGTTTCAAGGTTGAGGGTAGGTTTGTGGCAGTGTGACATGAGGGGGAGGGGCAGAATGCACCTCCCACCAAAACAAAAAAAGAACAAACAAGTATTCATTTTTTGAAAAATATTATTGTCCCAATTCCAGACCATGATACATGTAATTCTCTGATATCATCCTCATATATGTCTTGCATTCCAGAAACTTTTTGCAACACAAACTTGAGGATTTGTAGTGGATTTTGAAGTCGATTTTTGCAAACTTGAGGATTTTTAGTGGATTTTGTAGTAGATTTTTGCAAACTTGAAAATTTGTAGTGGATTTTGTAGTAGATTTTTGCAAACTTGAGGATTTGTAGTGGATTTTGTAAAAGTTGACAAGCATTAAATTTAAAAAAAAATGAAAAATAGAAACAGGTTTCACATACTATGCAGAATACATGTATTAGTTCTTAACTTCCATTGTTTTCCTTTAAGAAAAAGTGGAAGATGTTTGTTCATAAGATGCGCATTAAAGGTACAGTCCATCATTTATAATTTGTGCATTTTGTTTGTTTGAAGCAACAAAAGTGCTCAAAATCTGAAGAAGGGTGCTGAACAACTAACCTGATGAAGTTTCAGCTCAGCTTCAGCTGTATACTTAGAGGAAAAACAGCATTCTAGGATCTCGATTTCAAATCAAAAGTTGCTGAATCATGTTTTGAATTGGGCCTGAATTCAGCGTCCAAGACACGTTCTCACTGAGCCGATTGCAGCTACGCGATGTCATACTGATCCGATGAATTATAGCAACTGCGCGCGCGTGTGCGTCTTGCCAACGCTTGCGCGCGCTTCGCCGAATAAAAAAAAATTAACTACTAACAGCAATTTCTAATTTAGACACACCGTTGGAAAGGTCTTCTTTTGTTGATTTCTTCAAAATGACAGCTTGCCAGAAAGAATAATTTCACAGGGAGTTTAGTCCCCTTACTATCTTTCAACCAAGTATGTTTTTCAACAATAATTACGTCAGTTACTTTTTGGATAGCTGCAAATGATGGACTGTAGCTTTAAGGAGTAACAAAAATGGGAATTAATATTTTTGTGTTCTTTTTAACTTGTTCAGTTCAGAGTACGAGTCTGGTAGCACAGCAGGAATCTTGTCCGCAACCCAGCAGTGAATGCATTCCAGAACAGGCAACTGAGGACACACCAGCCCACTGTAGCAATGAAAGAGACGCCGCAATAGACACATCGGTGGAATTGCATAATGGGAAGGTCACAGAGATGACCCCTGACCCTGGAACAGAACATTCTGAGGACTCCAAACCACCGACAGAAAGAGAGCCGGTCCCTCTCGAACAACAAGTCGAATAGTGGAAATCCTGATGGTGTGTGTTACTCTGTCGCGCATGTACTATTAATTGATGGATGTACCCTGGACCCACATTCATAGTTCTACTAATCACTGAATTCTACACTTCCTACGCTCACCATTCTGTGCTTGTAAAGAATTTTTGTACCTTACAAACACCAAGTCTATAGATACAAGCTCTGTGTATCATGCAAACAAGTCAAAATTCCTCACCACAACAAAAAGGCAAGAATTTGGTGGTGTAGTTCACAGGTCCTCACTTCGAAGTGAATTCAAACGTTAGTGCTGCTTCAGTCACATTTTTGCTCACAAGACTAATTTAAAATTTATTCTTCATGATGCCATACCCGAACCGAAAACCGTGGATATCAACTTTAAACTCTAAAGTGTACAGAATTCCTTCACTAATAATTACATGAAAACAGCATACAGTCGAATCTTGTTAGTACAAACTCTGTAAAATTCTGGTTATTACAAACAAAAAGCCTTAGTCCCGACTGTGCATTTATGTGCACAATGAATCCGACTGATGTTTCTCTTAATACAAAATTCTGATATAACAAACAATTTGGTTAGGTCCGAATGAGTTTGTATTAACAAGACTCGGCTGTATTGTATGTGTTCATATTCTACTTTTTAATGATCTTTTGAATTGCAGCATTCTCTTGCAAGTAACCCTTTAAAGAGCTTTCACTGAAATCTCGGCAGGCGTGCGTGTGTTATGTGCATCTAACCTCGACCTTGTGTCATAGCTAAAGGTGTCGGCTTCATATGCCGTCCCGATGCATTTAGGTCAAGCGGGGCTTCAGTGGGCGTCGGAGTGTGCTTCAGTGGGCAATGATAGGCATGAAGGCAGCGTGGAAACGAGAGCGGGGCGTGAAAATGCCGCCTCGGGGCGGCCAGGGCTGGTCTCACGAACCAAATGTTTTCACAGAAAATAACAACTGAAGAAGGTTGTATAATGATTGACTGAGAGTTTCGGAAGGCCAATTTGACGGTCTCTGCTTTGTGTATTAGTTGACACCAAATTATAAATGGATCTTGATAATTGAAGGGTTATTTTGGTTTGCAAATATTTTCTCAGAACATAACTACTGAGGTTGTAATAATGAACTGGCAGGCTGTCCAAGTATGTCAGAAGGCCAATTTGTTTGTGTCCCTTTTGTGATTTTTTTTTAATATATGCATTATATTTATCACCCAAAATGTTTAATTGATCTTGAAATTTGAAGGTTTATCTGGGTTTGAAGGCAAGGGCAAAATTCTGGTTAAAATTGATTTCAATCTCTGGCAGTGCTGTATGGAATTTATTTGGATTCTCGAAGTGTTTCATTCTAATAAAAAAAAATGTTAGCCATATTCAAATGTTTCATTATAATTGTACAGCAAGTAATTAGTTAATTTTTATGTGCTCTTTTGTAATCAAACAATCTCAAATTTCTTTGTTACTGAGTGATTTGATAATTCTGTAGATTTGAGGGTTGATATACATGTATTATTACATTTATTGATCCGTTAATTTGACAGTTATTTTGTATGAATATAATGGAATGTCCCTTCATTGAAATGTATTAAAAAGATCTGTTCGATTTTGCTTACAAGAGAAATTAATACCTTCATTGTAGAGCTGGGGTTTTTTTTCAACAACTTCTTATCCCCAATATTAAATTATTTTCCCAGCTTTTAAAACATGACTTCCCTGAATTTTTTTCTTTATAAAATTACCGAGCCAACTTCTGAATTTTTGTGTACTATAATTCCCGAACCAACAGAATATGAAATTCAGTCGTCGTTTTGCCAGGGGCAACAAGCAACTATATCCGTTACAGGAGTACATGACGATGTGTTGATTTTCGACCCAGTCGGATTTTTTTTTCTGTCTTTAGACCAACCACAAAAGTGTCGGGGAAGCGTCAAGTCGCGGCCCGTATTATGCAAAGTTGGTAACCGATACGAGGCCCAGCGCCGGACGCCAACGGCTCGCTGCAAAGCGGGCCTGGCCCACGCGCCCTGTGCCCCGGCGCCCGTGCATCGAGGCACTTGGACCCGTAATTCATCCCGGTGAAAACACGCTCTCAGCGGTACGACGAGAGGTCTTAATGAGTAGTTCTCAATGCTGCAGGTTTTTTCTCACTTTGGCGTGTGTTTTATGGAAGCTAGTTCAGTCCGTAGTTTTCCCCGGTTTACGGTTACTATTTCTCGGGGGCATTTTTGTTTTTGTTGGGTCACGCACTGGGCCGGTCGGTGATGGGCCAAAAAAGTTCATTTCGGCACTGTGTATCCCTGAGCTTATCATTCCTAAGGGCTTATGAAAAAGCATGAAAAAACTTCGCAATGCAAACTGCTAATGCACTAAAGCATTACAGATGTATTGCATTGTAACCACAAGAACCGCCCTTCAATTTTGTGCATAATTTGCAATTGATCTGCCGCCTCACTTTTTAAAAAGATCCATACGCCTTTTAAATACGATCGTCCAGAGTGCTGTATGGGGCGCCCCGTCCAAATAATAAAAAAAAATCGCTTTTGCTGCACCTAGCCAGTATGTTCGATTTTTTTTCCTAACCAATTTTCAATTTGTATAATTTACTTATTGGAGAAAATCCGGCCAGTTTCATGGAATTCTCAGCACAGAATCATTGCTTAGGGCTACACATTTTAGGGTTTATTTAACAACTGACGCTCTTATGAAACGCGTCAATTTAGTCGATCTGTGAAACCCGAGTCTTTGTCTCTAAACCACTTTTATATCAACCTCATTGTAAGTTGACACAACGGGAGTAAACTTGCAAAATGGGGAAGTTCATTTCGTTTAGTACGCAAATACATCCAAATGTGAAACCTGAATTCCCTTGGGAACACGACTCTACACATTGACACCCTCAACTATCACCGTTAGGTAAAAAAATCCTTGTCTTAAGTCTCCGTACGAATAACCTAGTTCCACCACCAAGCCGCGGTCAAACCGACAACGCTAGCGGGCAATCCGCATCTCATGCGAAACATGCGATAATGAAAACTTGCTTGGAGGCACCATGTATATATTAAAAATGGCCTTAAAGGTAAGGTAGGAATATTTTACCCGAAAACGTTTTTATAATTACGAAAAGGTTGCTCACAGATAGGGCTGATGCCCAGTATCCTTTGAGACTATTCGGCCTGAAAAACAAGTGTCGTTCTTCGGGGGTTGAGGGGAAACAGTGATTGAAGGTGGTTTTGAAATAGTTTGCCCGCGGGCACACTTTTTTTTTTTACATACATTAGCTGCAATGGAATCCAGTTTTGCGAGACCCTAGCCTACAAACTATTTTTTTTTTTTTCTCGGCAGCCACGCACCATCCTTAAGATTTCTCCCGGTTGGCTGAACTCGCCAGAAAAGCGTTTGATTTACCAAACCTGTATGGCACACAAGACAGTCTATACATCGGAGCGATATATCCATTTGAAAAAAGTGGAACATTTCGCACGTTACATTAAAAGCTTTATCAAAGTTTAAATAATAAAAACAATACATGTATAACAGCTGTGACTTAACTTCATTTTCGCTTTCTTGTCTTCTTAACATTATGAACTATAAAACCCGGCGAAACTGACTTTGGGCAACTGCGGGAGAGGGCGGTAGAGTAACAAACTGGCGCTGGCGTTTATCGCATTTTGAAAACTCTGATACGCCCTTACTGCATACCAGAACCTTCTGCGAATCTTAAATAGGTGCAGTTACAGTAAACCAAAAAGTACTATAAAACAGAGCTCGTAAAAGTGGTCCAGAAATCTCGGTGCCAAAATTTCCCACTTCAACTCGATAATGGAATGGTAGATCGATATTATGAATAATGCTCCGCTACACTAATTGCTTCATTATTTAGCATCACTGCAATCGCTCAATGGTCATTGAAACCCGTATATAGAGAGATGTCCTTTTTCCCTCTCGTGACACGGGGCGACGAACCAACGATCATGGAGTATTTTGTTCCATCTTATCCCTCGCCGAAAGTCGTCAAAACCATGGAGGTAGGAATCCCAGCATCCAAATATAGACGATTCTCTTCTTTCCACCCACAACTTCCGACAAGAGTTTAAAAAAACACATATGTTTCGGTTAGCGGAAACGCGATATCGCAATATATCCGAGCGATACTTTCAAATCCCTCTGCCGTGTAAAAAAAAACGGATGAAATATCATATAGTCTTCTTTTAGTATTCATGGGCTATCTTAGCTGTTTGACATTAAGCGACAATCGTGCAGACCCTGTGCTTTGTGTTACATTATGAGGCTATTTTGGGGGGTCAGACATGTTGGCCTGGGGCTGGTTTTACCATAGAGATTGAAGAGTTACTGTAGATGTGTAGGTTTTTTGGTGTTTTTTTTTACAAAGTCTTGGGACACAGGGTATCAATTCAGAAGTCCCAATCAGTGAAATGCGGCGGTACCGTAGACGATTCGTGCACATGACAACATGAATGTTTCACGGTGGAGATGTAGATATGACACAGTGATTCCAAAAATGGACGGAGAACAGTAGGGCCCGCGCATTAGCCGCGGCATGTTTCTCACAAGTGGGCATACAACAAAGACACCGCTAAGAAAGTGCAATCAGTGACAGACACGATACCATCATTGTGCGCTCTTTTCCGTGCGGGCCCATAGGCTAATACATTACTTTTGTTTAAACGAATGAATGAATCACCAATCGTGGGCCCACTGATGAGTACACTTTAGAAGACGCTCGGGTTAGCTTTAAGAAAGTGGGGAACCCTCCCCAGGAATATAAACTTGTTTCACAGCCCATTATTTTGACGAAACCAAGAATTCAAGTTGGTCGCAAAATAATGAGGGTCCGAGTGAGCGCTAGGATTCTAGCTTCATAAATATTGTATTGGTTAGAAGTGACGTCACGTCCTGCAGTCAAAGTTTTTATTTTGTACCAAAAAATACGACATTGAAAACCACAACAAGTATTTTCACATTATAGAGAGTCAGTTTTTATACAAATCAGTATGCAAACAAAGCGACTTAAAAATGTTTTGAGAGCGGTGTCACGAATCTGGACGACAAAAAGGACAGTGTTTCCTCGAATCGCCTGTCTGATCATGTCTTTATTTCTAATCTTTCCCTGCAATGTGATTGGCCGACCTGACGCCCGCGCAACATATTCTCCCATGAATCAGTTATACACTCATTAGATCCCGAGGCCCCGAGGCGATAATACATCAAGCCAAGTGGAAAATAGTTAATTAATGTGTTTTCGCTCTCAGCCTGTAGTCAGCCTGAATTTTATTTGCAATCACGCTCCCCTAGCCCTGTGTGTGTAATTCCTAGATGGACTGAACACACCGTCGCACGGCGAGTGCTGTCCTTTTTGAGCGGGCAACGCGCACTCGACGGGGCACGGGGGCTTAAGTCCCAAATTGACGGCGGACACAAACCGTCCCAGATCCGGTCCTAGTCACGGGCATACGATGACGGGGAGCTTAATAGTCGGCGACAGCAAAATGGTGAGGAACAATTAACTCAGTGCCGGCGATGCCGCGTGAATTTAGGATCAGCATGACCGGAAAGAGGGACATCAGATCGGTGCATCAATACGTTGCCCCATTTATGAACAATGTTAATCGACCTTTTTTTCGTGACTTCCTCCTAGTCACTTGGCCCCTTGGGGTCTCAGGCTGAGGGCTACCTGGCCACCTAAAAGTCGTATTTCCGCCGACCCAGTATCACATGATTTTAAATTCTGTTTCATAATTATGAGGAAGCTTGCTTGGATAAGTGCTTTTGCGCGTTTCCCTTTATTGTTGTTGACTTGATATCGTGTGATTTTTTTTGTTTAATTTATTTGCATAGATATGCATGAGTTTACCTATTGTGCTTTCATTGTTAATGAATTAAAATAAAAGATGCTTACCTGAACTGTTCTTCTGTAATGTGCCGGGAAATGTAATGACGGTCCAATGTTTTCCACTTGCTGAGAATCCAGTTGTGGAGAGTGTCGGTTCGTTAGTTTGTCCTTTTCTTAATCTTCCATTTTCCCATTACGTTTTCTAACCGTTTGTAGTTAATTCAGATTGATGCGGTGGCCAGCTGGCTCAGTGATGCTTTGAAAGTTTGATTTTCAATGATATGCATGCAAAACAAGTTTTGATATTTTCACTAGCGCACGGCTTTTGTAGAGAGCGCCCTCTATCATATTTCAAGATGGCGCCGACCACGAGAATATCGAAAACGAAGAAAACTCCGAGTTCTCAACGGGAGAATCAACAGATACCAAGCGCAGATGAGCCTACTGAAGACGAGCCAACATCAGCAGACGATTTCTCCGATGTATCAAGCGATGGCAGTCTCTCCACAGATTCAGAAATGGAGGATCTTGTCCAGCGAACTGTTGCAAATATGACCGGCAGTGCACGCGAAGAAATTACGCGTGAGGGAAAGCCAAAGGGATCTAAATCCGACACCGCGTTAGACATTGGTGCCGGCGCGAGCCGGGGTGGAAATAAAGATCACACGGTTCTCCCGTTCGTTGTGGATGCCAACCCGAATTCAAAGAGCAGTATTAGAATTGAAGTTGATCATGCTACGGGTTCTATGTCAAACGAAGTGAGTGACAATGATGATGCATTCGAGGGAGAAACGGAAATGGGTCAACTCGTACCCGAGTTAACTCGTACCCGAGTCAACTCGTACCCCAAAATTGACACCCAAGTCAAGTCGTACCTGAGTTAGGTCGTACCCGAGTCAAGTCGTACCCCAGTCAACTCGTACCCGAGTCAAGTCGTACCCGAGTCGACTCGTACCCGAGTCAACTTGTACCCGCAGCTCAAAATAGTTGCCTATTTTCGAAAAGAAAATCAGTGAAACGAACGGAAGATCGGAGGGATATGGCCGGTTGTCCGTGCACGGTGACATCGTTTGTGCCGAGCCTGTGCGCGCACTCGCTGGTCGTGGTGGTCGTACCGTGCACAGTGACATCGTTTTTGCCGGGCCCGTGCGCGCACTCGCCGGTCCACGTGGTTGTCCGTGCACGGTGACATCGTTTTTGCCGGGCCTGTGCGCGTACTCATCGGCCAACGTGGTCGTACCGTGCACGGTGACATCGTTTTTCCCGGGCCTGTGCGCGCACTCATCGGCCAAAGTATGCATGCTTTTATCAATTTATTTTATTTTTGTATTACAGATGATCCTGTGGTTTTCCATTTTCTGCTGCTCAAACCGATCGATCGGATGGTCTGTCACACAGTTCATGATGAATCGAATCGGATGTCAAGTTTCGAGGACGAAACCCGATTAGCTCAGTTTTGTTTAAGATAATAAAATTTTCTCTTGCACTTGAATTACAATTTGCTAATGTCAAACAATCTTTCACACCCAAGGATCAACTAACAAATTGGTCCCCTAAAACTTATAGAAAGAGCATCTCTGAATGAAACGAGCCACCATTTTCCTTTATCGTGTTTACTTCCTTGATGCCTCAAATGTAAACAAATAATTAAAAATCCTACATTTCTGTTACCAAAATAATATTCTAGTTGAACTTATCGCAGAAACTTTATTTAAGCTGCACAAGATTTTTTTTACGACATTTACCGAACTAATTGTACAAAAAATGACCAACATATTAAAGAATCATTATAAATTAAATAAAGATGTCCGTGTGACTCTTTTAAGTTTCCTGTAATATATTTTCTCTTCAGATTTGTACTTTCAGGGCCCCCAATCTTCCCAAAGAGATTTGTGCCATGTGCAGTTTTTATTCAATAAATGATGCCAAAAATGGAGTGAGTGAACGTTGAAATATTACTTTTACATTACAAAATTTGTTTTTAATAGCAGCTTTCTTTAAAAAAAAAAAAAGGTCTTAAATACTAAATTCGTAAAAAGAAAACTATGCCCTTAAAACACGTTCGACCGAACAAAAAAAAGACGTAGCAGTTCGCACAGTCACTCCGCAATCTCAGTGATCCAGGGTCTCTGAAAAAAGAAAGAAAAAACATCATTACTAAGAGAAAATACTACACAAATATTAAAATAACACATCTGATGATCTGGATGAAAAGTGAAATTTACCGTTTATCAGCGAGGGCTCCGTCGACTCGCGAGTACCACACTAATGCCGATTTGAAAATGTTCTCCGCGCGGTACCCGTCCGTTCGCGATGAAGCCCTTGCCGATGAACGGTACATTTTCCCTTTTCATCCAGATTGTGATCAACATTTGATACCACCGCCTTCAACTAATCCTTGAACTTTATATGTATTTCTGGCGGCGTAACTAGTATTTCTCAGTCGCCGTTTTTGAGGGTAAAATCGGAAGTTTTGTTAACCATCCATCTGTACTTCCAAACTAAAAAAGGAGGGGAGTACGAGTTGACCTGGGTGCGAGTTGACCCGGGTACGAGTTGGCTCGGGTACGAATTAACCTGGGTACGAGTTAACTCGGGTACGAGTTAACTTGGGTACGAGTTAACTCGGGTACGAGTTGACCCGGGTACGAGTTGACTCGGGTACGAGTTAACTCGGGTACGAGTTGACCCAAAATCGGAGAAACAGATGTGATACCAGCAAAACCCCAACTTTCAACGCTTTCGAGTCATCTCGTACCTTGGGCAACTCGTACCTTGGACAACTCGTACCTTGGACAACTCGTACCTTGGACATCTCGTACCTTGGACATCTCGTACCTTGGACGACTCGTACCTTCAATTAAGACGACTCGTACCATCAGAATAAAAAGTAGATTACGTGCGTGATTTAGTGTGCACAGTTTGTGGTTCCTTGACTCCGAAACGATACGATTCTTTTCAAGTCAAAGTTAATTTTTATCCCACAGAACCACATTCAAGATCTAATGGCTTTGCCAGGCAGCGTGATTTTCGGCGTTGGGCCTGCCGCAGGGCAATGAAATTGACTGCCGGGCCGGCCTCCGATGGCGCGAGCAGCGGTCGCCGTGCGCGGTACCGATGCCGGTGACTCGGAAGCGGCCGGCCAGCGCGGCGCGCGCGGCACTGCCATTCTGTTTTTAATGGAATTACATGTACTTGGAAAAAAAAAACAATTAGCGGTAAACACATAGTTTTGGGATGAAAGTATATCGATTCCGTAATACATTTATTTGCAATTTTTAAAGTAGGCCCAAGTCTCTAAATGCCGTTGAAAAACGGCAAACTGCAACAATGTCACCGTGCACGGACGGTCCGACTTGTTAAAATGAAATCAATCAATTATGGTGGACTATATATAGCAGCAAATGTCTTTCGAGCAGCGAAAGTTAGTATTTCCTAACAAAATTGGAAATATTTGCCAGTCCAAGATTCACGTCTTATCATTTTTGCGGTGATAATATATATGAAGAAAAAAGTAGTTCAGGCGATTAGAGGGATCAATAATAGGAAAATGTTGCAACCTGACGCCACTTTTTTCTTCATATAAATATATCATCTCAATGATGGTCATTCCTTGCAAAAATGATGGTAAGACGTGAATCTTGGATAAAAACATCAGTTCCATAATATTTGCACGTAGCCTAAGTCTCTAAATGTAACGGAAGACTGCATCAAAAATGTCACCGTGCACAGACGACCGGTCAGCGCGGCGCAAGAACCGTGTCACTTTGCACGGATGGCTACCGTAGGTTGACCTTACCGCGTGACGTACCGCGTGGGCCTGTGCATGCCGCGCACACAGTGCGTGTAACATGCCGCGGTCGCGGCCGGCTTCGCGCTAAATAAATTCCTCTTTTGGGGGGAAAGAGAGCCCATACCGTACCAAAAAGAGATTCGCCTTTATTTTAATAAGCAGTCCACTTTCAATGAGTTACGGTCCACTTTATTCAGCCTCGGATCATTATCCTGACTGACGGTACGACTTGACTTACGCGTGATGGTACGAGTCGTCTTAACTGAAGGTACGACTTGCCGAAGGTACGAGTTGTCCAAGGTACGACTCGGTATAATGACGTCGAGTTGAAGGTACGAGTTGTCCAAGGTACGAGTTGCCCAAGGTACGAGATGACCTGTTACCCTTTCAACATCCCTTGAACAGGAAGAAGAAATGTTCATATCCTTGGAGCCTTTGAGTGACGCGCCATCTGCAAAAAGTCAGGCAGTACATGAGAAAAAGTTGCCATATCGTCAGAGTGAACGTCTTCCAGGGACAGCCAAGCCAAGGTATGTCAAAATAAATTAATTTTAAAATTTTTTATCCATTATTCTTCTTGCATAAAACACAGTAACAAAAAAATTAAGTTCTTTTCTGAAGCCCTGGGAGTAATTGCAGAATACCCCGCCACCCGGAAATACACCCCTAAAATCACTGGCTACGAGGTTGGAATCACTGAAAAAGAAACAATTCAAGTCCATTGCCAGCTACGCGGATAATGAGTGGGGGTCCATTATTTGAGAACGAAGCAACACAAAATGAATGGGAGTTCCTGAAAAAATTCTAAGTCCAAACCAACCACCCTGTTGGCGGCTACGAGGCTACGGAGTGGGAGTCCCCTTGAATATGGGAGTGCAATGGAGCATGACGCATAGTACATACAAGCATAGAGCAAGGACAACAGACGCTGAGAATGTTTATTGAGGTCAATCAACCGTGACCTCGTAGCCGGCTACGAGGTGGATAGATCGAGTGGCGGGGTATTCTGCAATTGTGCCAAGCCCTGTAGTGTTAGATAATTAACAGTTTATAAAAAGGCTTTAAATATAAAAGCAACCTTTATATTATTTAGACATAAATTATTGAATCAATTTTTTTTCTTCTTCTTTTTAATTGAAGCCTTGAGTTGCCCACAGAGCTTGATGCAGGACTTGACCTTGAAGAAACATATCTCAACTTCACAGGAGAAGCTCCTAAGGAGAGCAAAATGTCTGCCAAGGGGGTCTTGGCAAAAAGTAGCCAAGACAAGGTGACATATATGAAGAACTTTAATGTTTGTAGAAGTTTAATTAACATTCTGTAATCTTGCACTCTGTAATCTTATACTTTTTCTCTGCTCTGCAACCCGCATGTATAGGTAGTTTGACAAACGAGTTATAATAACAGAAATTGTTGCTCTTGAATAATGCTTTTTTCTCTTCTTTTATAGCTTCTGAAAAAGAGCATCATCACCCCAGACTTTGAGAAACAACACAGTGTTCCACCATACAGAGTGGCCACACGACTGCTTAAAAGACGTAAAAAGGTTTGTTTGTAGCTTAAAACAAAAGAATAATCAAGACGTAAAAATTTGAGGTGGTTTAAAACTGTTTCATGATGTGCTATGTTTAATTAGCAAGTTTGACTCGGAGATTGCACATGTATGTCAAAAATATCCCTTTGTGAAACTTAACAGAAGGAGAGAGAGTCCAGCACGGGTCAGGAATGGTACAACATGGCCGCGGCTGAAATGACAGACCAACTACGCAACGACATCAAGGCAGTACGCATGCGCTCCACACTGGATCCAAAGAGATTCTACAAGCATAACGACATGACAGCAATGCCCAAATTTGTACAGGTATGTTTTGAGCAAAATCTGTCAAAGTTTCATGGGGTAGCCTTAACCACAACTCCCAGGCCCTATCAGGATGCATCATCAGTCCTTCAAATTACTCCAAAATACTCCCACTCACATTTAAGACGTTGAAGCCGTGCAGATGATATCCAGAAGCAGTGCCAATGATATCCAATATAATGTCGACCAATATTTATGTATGGCTGAGCATAAACAAAATACAAGGTACAGCCTAAGACCTTGACATAATGCATCAGCCAAAATCAACACTTAAAAGGTACGCAATCCTCAAAAAGCATCCAAAAGCGCCTGGTTGATTTTGGAGGATTGAGGGTTAGGGTTAATTAATACCAGAGATTCCTTACAGGCAAATAGATTATTCATCCACTTTTATTTTTACAAAATGTCTTGCGCATTGGAATTCCTTTACCCTGGTTATTTCAAAGTTGCTTTAATTTCAAACCTTCAACCAGAAGCCCTTTTCATGAATTTGATTGTGAGCTATTGCGTTCGGAATCCTCCATTTGTAACAAAAGTTGCACTATGCTTGAAATCTTTTAAGCAATCCAAGAAATATCTTCAATATTCCAAGTTCCCACTAAGAATATTTATCCCCCGCCGGTGTAGGTTGGGACTGTGGTGGAGAGTGCAGCTGATTTCTACCATTCCAGGATCCCCAAGAAGCAGCGCAAGCAGACCATCGTGGAGGAGTTGCTAGCCGACGCGGAGACACGAAGGTGAGGCTGACTGTCTGTAAAAGCTCCAACTCCCGTATCAGACTGGTATTCTAGAGTCAGACTAAACAATGAGTTTTCTGAGCAACTCAGGTCATCCAAAGTACATTTTCGTGAAATTGAGACGGTAAATTTAGTGAGGCTGACTCTCTGTAAAAGCGCCAACTCCCGTATCAGACTGGGATTCTAGAGTCAGACTAAACAATGAGTTTTCTGAGCAACTCCGGTCATCCAAAGTACATTTTCGTGAAATTCAGACGGTAAATTTAGTGAGGCTGACTCTCTGTAAAAGCTCCAACTCCTGTATCAGACTGGGATTCTAGAGTCAGACTAATCAATGAGTTTTCTGAGCAACTCGGGTCATCCAAAGTACATTTTTCGTGAAATTCAGACGGTAAATTTAGTGAGGCTGACTCTCTGTAAAAGCTCCAACTCCCGTATCAGACTGGGATTCTAGAGTCAGACTAAACAATGAGTTTTCTGAGCAACTCAGGTCATCCAAAGTACATTTTCAGGAAATTCAGACGGTAAATTTAGTGAGGCTGACTCTCTGTAAAAGCTCCAACTCCCGTATCAGACTGGGATTCTAGAGTCAGACTAAACAATGAGTTTTCTGAGCAACTCGGGTCGACCAAAGTAGATTTTAGTGAAATTTAGACGGTAAATTTATGCATCAGTTTTCCATTGACCAGAGAGCAGAGTCAAGACGAGGCAGTCCTAGTAGAGCTGGCCCCAGGGTCCACAATTGATGCCAAATGGCTATTCGCTGGAAATCTCTTCATGCATCTGTCAAGGCTGAGATTTGTCAGGATTTTTCCTCATTTCAGGATTTCTTGTCAGGATTTTTTTTTTTTTCTGATTTCAGGATTTTTAGAATCCCATTTGAAATCTAAAATTCTGAGCTTTTACCGTTAAAGGTGGTTTTATGGTATTTTGCCGCTAAAAAAATATGTAGAACAAACAATATGGGTATTTTGCAGGTGCCTTTGGGCAAATGAAAACGTATACCATGAACCCTATGTTGCTCAGATCCCAGCCCTCACGATCTGCAATCAACAAACCGTCTGTGGACTATTTCATGGATTTGTTACTTTCCCCCAATCCCACCCCTGATCTTTGTACACAACGGGCCTGATGTATCCCATTCATTGGCATTACGGGGTAATCCTATATGATAGCACTGCCCGACTCTAAGTGAGAGCGAGTCGGTGGGTCAGTCAGTGAGTCACAGAGAAGACTATGGGCTGGCCCTCTGGGACCAGCAAAAATATTCTGTAAATTGATTGAAGGGTCTTTCAAGAGAGTAATATTGAGTAGAAAAATACTTCTTGAAGTTTACCTTCATCAGGATTAACATGCTCTCAGATGCTCACACAGTGTTGTCTTTTTTATCGGCAGATACAACAAGAGGAAGTACTTGGAGCTTCAGGAGAGGACCAAGCGTTGGGGTCCGAGGTCAAGCAGAAACAGGAAAGGGAAAAAGAAAGCTGGGAAGTGAAGGGCCAACATGTGATGTCTTTTTTTTCAGTCTCACGGGCTCAAAGTTTATTCATGCAATTCACAAACCTTTCTTTTTACGATAGACCTGTTGCATCTGATGTCCCGTCTGAGGGCAAGTCTTTGTTAAAATGACAGATGCTGGCCTTAGTTAGGGCATGGTCAGGGTTCACCGTGCAATGGTCTATTGACGAAACTGATACTAAGGGACATTGTTTCACCAGATCATGGAAAGAAGAGTAATAAAATTGTCAAAATGACAAGTTTGCATGATAATGTGAAGTGTTGATTTATCCTGTTGTTATCTTATGTAAAGTGTGATGAATTTTTTATGTAGTTATGAAAGTCAATGAAAACAAAAATCAAACATTTTAACCTAATTGCAGTCAAAGCACTCCCCGTTCCTCCCCCTTTTTTTCAATAAATGAGGATGATGTGTCCAGTGTGGTGTGAAATTTGGAGTCTATGAAATACGGACTCGTCGACAGTATTGTGCATAGCTCAGCCAACAGAATAAAGGGAACTCATGATGCATGTGAGGCAGAGAGTCCAATTATGGTAAAGGGACCGGATTTCATAGGAGTCCAAATTTCATATGACACCGGCCCCCTTTGAAATGATCTCTCCCTTTTCTCCAACATTCACTCCCTCCACTTTTGTCATGCCATCCTTTCAGGAACCATCCTTTATAAGCCAACAAAAAACGTACTGACAATGTACCCCCACCCTAATCCCCAATCGCCGCAATATTGGGGCCTATTCTTTGCCGACCAAAACATGTTCTAGTTGCAGAGTGGCATTAAATAAATCACAGCTTTTGAAGAAGCACAACTTTTTAAAATCCATGATGGAGTTGACAAAGGCTGATTAAAAAAGAACGACATGAAGATTTGTTTCACTCGACCTTACCATCTTTCATTATTGTATCCTGGCAATCGTTATCAACGAATACTAGATGTTGGATCAACAAAAGCTAAATACATGTATTAGGTGTTTTTGACATTATTATTCAATTTAGAGAAAACTGATTCGATAAACGATTTTTTTTGGAGGGGGGGGGGGGAGAACGGACCAATGCTTCCCGCAGATTTGCCAAATTTGTTTATACTTCAAAATACTTATGTCATTTATCCCACCATGATCCCACAGAGAGCCCCCTCAAAAACATCTAAACATTTTTGTTCACGAAAGGGAACCATCCCCCTTGGGGTTTGGGGCGTCAATACAGATTGCCAAGGGCGGATCGGGGGGGGGGGGGCCACCCCCCCCCCCCCCCCCCAACGAACCAAATTTTTTGTTTTAAGTGACGTCGCCAAAAAGGCAGGCACTGCGTACACCGCCATCTTTTTCTCAAAATAATTTAGTTAAAGTGGTCAGAAATTGCAGTCATATCGCACCACAGAGCATCTAGAATCAAACAAATTTTCGGCGCCCTTAAGCGGGACCCGAACCCATTGTGGTAATTTTTTGGACCCACTTTTTGGGGACCAAAAAATTGTTTGCCCCCCCCCCCCCTAAAAAAATATTGCTGTGTTGTTTTGGAAGATAACAAAACACAACCTTCTTATATTCCTGAAATTCGTTTACTTTTGATACGCGGGGATTGGTCGCGTCTCGAATGTAAAATCCACTAATGAGTTGGGTTAGGCAGCCTTAACGACGATCCATTATCACGATTGACTAGAGTGTTAACTTTTCAAGACAGAGAGCAAAAAAAACGTGTGCGTTCTTGCGATAGTGGGTGACAGGCTCCAGCAACGATCCCTCGATCTACCCGCACAAAAAATGTGTTCCTGGGGGACTCCATGTGGGCGGTGGGCCCTTTCTTCTAGTCTCGATAGGGGGTATCTCCCATAAACAAAATTCCTGAAAAGGGTACCTCTTTTGACTGTCTTCGAAGCATGGGTAATGCAAACTAAAAAGGTTCTTTATTGAGGCAGAGCAGAGATACAACCCTTGGCTTTTTTGTATTCTAGATGTTTTATTGGCACGAGCTGATAGAATGGGTGGCGGGGTCCAAGCCAGCAAAATAGACCCGGTTATCTCCGCCTCGCCACCCCGGTGAATGAAACCAATGGAGCAGGGCAGGGATGTTTGGACGAATTAACGGATAAAGCCCATTGTTGGGGCTTCACCGTTTTATTGTTGGGTGTCCGACAACAGATCGATTCACGGCAGACGATAGAGAGGGGAAACATACCGAGGTAGTATGCCGGCCATTCTGTATGCCGGTCTCCGGACGGTAGTTGGCCTAATCTCTTTGATTGAGAGGTGATGTTTTTTATACCGTTTTTCTTGATGGAATTTATTCGCTTTATGATCGAGTCAAATTATTGTGCGAGGCCTAAATTCCGCTCTTTTGATGTAAATGGGTCTTGGGGGTAGTGAGAAGACAGGCCCGAAATCTCTCCTGAATAGTTGCAGCGTGGCGCAGGCAGACAGTCTGATCAATGTGGCACCAGACACGCCCTCGGAGATACGCCGGGACTGTCTACCATCCGACGCCCGGCGACTGCGGTGGGGCGGCTGGAAGCTCTGGCCGGTTCCAAGAGCTTTGGAGGTGGTTTGTAGGATTGTGACCAAACTTGGTTATCCCTTCTCTTCTGCGTGATAATCTCGTCAGTTCCTGACTTGTGGCTGTCCAGTTCGGATCTGGTGATCGATCAGAATCGATGACCCAGAACCAGGGTGCACACATGGGTAACCCACGCGGGCACGGTAGAAATGGTCGTTTGATGGACAACCGAGGAAATTTGAGCAGAAGATCACGAGAAGTCTTCGAAGAAACTGGTAAGCTTCTTCATCAAGTACAAATGTAGGTGTAATTCTTAAGCTGGGCGGGGACCGATAACACAACGTGATTAAATTTTACTGAACCCAAAAACCTTAAAGGGGTCTCCGGGAAAAACAAGAAATTGAAAACAGGTAGGCCTATACTAGTCTTGGGTGAAGGAAATTCCATTTAAGTTTCAGTGTGACAATTTCTTGATAATTTTGTTTTGTATCCAAAATAAATTGCATCAGTAGAATTTAGGACTTGTAATATGTTTGCTCAATTCAACTTTCTGGGCGTGGCCTGCCGCCATTTTTTTCTTTGGGGAGGGGGCGGGTCAGGGGTGGTGTTAGATCAGATGCAAAGACCGATTTTATGGAGCTATAAAACATGCATGTTTAAAGAAGTATTTAATGTCTTGCTCTGCAAAAAAATATATATATATATAGGCATCAAATTAATGTCGGGTGTGAATTTTTGTCAGTTGTTCTCAGTAATAACTTTTTCAGCACACACATTTCCTCAGCCCTATCATTTGATTTGCAAATTTACTATTGACTGTTTAGCATGTCACAAAGTTGTGCATCTTTGTTTTGGGCCCAAAATAAGTCATGTTAATTAGACTCAACAGTGGCGTAGAGATGTCATTTTTATTGGGGGGGGGGGGGGGGATTTCTTGAAAAGGGCACTTGCACATCCGTGCTGAAATGTAGACACGTTTTGTTTCATGTGCTCCAGACACTTGGCCTCCGTAAAATCAAATAGTCGATGGGGTGGGGGGGGGGGGGGGTAGCATCTGTCGATGGGGGCGCTGTTCAAAACCGACGATTATGCACACTAACGGACAATATCTATATCTGGTGCTTTTCAGGGCGATACATGCGTGAAATTCAATAAAAGGCACTCGGAACGGCCGATCGCACAAAAAAGGGCACAACTTCTTTTTACAAAGGGCACTTGTTCAGAAAAAAGGCACTTGTTAAAAAAGGCACTCTTTACAAAATATTGGGATGGGGGGTACGTGCTGGTGAAAAAAGGGCCATTTGAATGGAAAAGGTCAGTCATTAAAAATATTGGGGGAGGGGGTTAGTGGGTGGTAAATACCCCCTTACCCCCGCCCTCCGCTGGCTACGCCTATGCTCAAGAATGACGTATACACCACGGTAAAAGAGGGAGGCGATAGGCCCCGCCCCCTTTTGAAAACCAGCCCTTTCAAACGTAGGTTCAAACTTGTTAGCTCCTTAATTTTGAGAAGCACTTTTTTACCCCTCCATTTCCCCCTGCTTGGGAGGGGGGTACTCAATAGGTTGTTAATAAAATGGGATGCCGGGAATATGCCTTGAGCGCTGCAGAGGGGCATTCTCTCCCCCCCCCCTCCCCCCCCCCCCCCCAAGTTACACCACTGCCCGCTATCGGGTCCGACTTTTCTGAAGGTGACTCGGACTGGAGAGGAGTACCGAATATCAGGCGCGGTTCTACGGGGGGGGGGGGGGGGGGCTAGGGGGGCTGTAGCCCCCCCCCCCAATTTTGTCTAGCCCCCCCAAAATAAATTCCGTAAAAAAAAAATTGCATTAGCAAAAAGAAGGATTGTGATGTACATGTGAACGGTCTCCCCGTAAAGAAGAAATAGCCGTGACAAGGGTGCATTAGTTAATATAGTGCAAGGGCGGATCCAGGAGGAGGGGGGGGGGGGGGGAGGCCAAAGGGGCCCATCGCCCCCCCCCCCCAAAAAAAACGAAACCAATTTTGTTTTGTTTTATGTGACATCGCAATAAAGGCAGGCAATGAGTACACCACCATCTTTTCCTCAAAAACAATTGGTTAAAGTGGTCAGAAATTGCCTCAAATCGCACCACAGAGCATCTAGAATCCAAAAATTGTTCGGGGCCCAAGCGGGCCCCGAACCCCACGCCGTAATTTTTTGGACCCACTTTTTTGGGGGACCAAATTTTTTTTGGGCCCCCCCCCCACAAAAAATTGTGTTCTGGATCCGCCCTTGCTATAGTGTGAATGATTTTAGGATTTTATTGGCGTTCCCCGTTGAAAATATGGCATGAGCCCCCCCCCCCCCCCCCCCCCCCCCCACCACCACCACCTATTGATTTTCGGAGGCCTAAGTGTCTGGAAAAAAGAACCGGTCAACATTTCAGCACGCCTCCCTGAAAAAAATTCTGGATCGACCGTGCTAGCCCCCCCAAAATATTGGTTCTAGAACCGCGCCTGCCGAATATATTTGCTCACTTATGCTTTGTCGTCCGAACCGAATAAATGTAATGTTCATTTGAAATTTTAAAAATTAAGCTGGGAAACAAGGAAATGGGAATGACACGATTGAGGAACTTGCATCTGTGCAGTGAGGCTGGCGCCCAACATGAGTTATGTAAACCTCTAGCCAGCTAAGCAGACGAATTAGATTTGCTCATTGAGATGAACTTTTATGATTACCGCCGCCAAACGGAACAGTGTGGGTCCTGAGATTGAGAATTAATTGATATTCTTTCCCCGTTTT